AGCATGGGCTCTGGGGTTGGGCTGCCTGGATTCAAGAGTCTCACCATTGCTATTTACTACCTGCGTCTGCGTGTTAAGTTACTGAACCTCTCTGAGCCTCTTCACGATCTGTAAAATACAAATAGTTCCTACTTTGTAGGTCTGTTGCACAGATTAAATGAACTAGGGCTTGTAAAGTGCTTGAAATGTGCTAAGCACCCAGTAGGTGTTATTACATAGTTACTACTATTAACACCACCCATGCAGAATCTAGTTCCCTTAGCTTCATAGATTCAGAAACTTAATCTCATTATGGGGTGATCCAACTCAGATGACGCTGTTTCACATTAGCCAGACTTACAAGAGGCCAGGAAACCAAATAGTTTATTTACATCTGGAGACAGTTTTCCAGTGCTGTACACATTTGCTATGCACCCTTCTCAAGAGTGAAATACCTGGTGTACATACAACAAAGACAAAGGGTGGGGCTCTTGGGTGGAATACATTTCCAGAATGATGGAACAGGGGTCCCTGATTCATCATAGAACAGTCACTGTAACTGAGATCAGAACACCCAAGGCCACCCTATAGGACATCTTGCATACTAGCTGTAAGCTGGGATAACGTGTGCCTTGCCTGACTCACCAAACAGTCATTCAGAATGTACTTGCTAAATAAATGACTTCCTTGGGCAGGGCCGGTTTACCGTCATCAAATCCTCATTCCTTTTCTCTCCCTTTCTAGATTCTAGGCAAACTGACACCTTTCTTCCTCAGGCAGGATACTATTCATTCGATAACAGCTTTTTATGTCAGTTGTGTTTTATTCTTTTGGATGGAGACATTGTAATGAACTGCAGGAAATACTGCATGCTCGTCAATAATGTGTTTACTTATCTTCTAGCGCCCCTTCCCTGCTTCTCATCTGTATTCTATGTAACTGACATCCCCCTGCACGCTGCAAACATTAACAATGTCAATTATGACCGCATGTGCGCAGAGCTACTTCTCCACTGTCTGGGGCACTGGTAACTCTATCCCCCTGGATAGAGGTGGAGGAGGGCCCGTCTTCCTCTGGAAAGGTGATTATCCTTTGATAGGTTTGTTGAGTTTTGTTTTGTTTTGTTTTTTTCTCCCTGCATGAAATTGAGCATTGCCCTAAACAATTTCAGTTTGCAGCTCCTCAGACAACTAATGAGGTGGTCAGGTCTGTCTGTTTCCCTCTAGACTTAGTGAGATTCCTCTCAAAGGACAAACCCACCTCCTCTGAGCAGTTCCACAGGCAAAGGCACCCGGCTAGACAAAAAGAAGGGAGAGCCCGCTCACCCCTATCTTTGAAGCTCAAGGGAATGCTTGCCTTGGCCTGGTGGGCTCTGGCGTGCAGCAAGGACAGAAGCAGCCGCCTTGTTTTCCCCACCTGGATGAAGTTGGCAGAATTCCCGTTGTTCCCTAACCCTAACCCGACTCCATCTCATAGCCCTCAAAGAAAATGCCTGATCTCTTTCCTTTCCCCCCGCTGAGCAAAAAAGTTTGAAGAAATCGACAAGGAAAGGATTCAAAATTTCAATCCAGAGCTGCTTTATCTCTTGCCCACCCCTCTGGGAATCCTAAGACTTATCTCCGTAACTGCTGACTTGGCTAGTGCTTGGAAGTGCTCCCCACCCCGTCCCCCCCAAACATTTGATTCTCTTCCAACAAATCGCTCCTGCTGGATATTTCCTTGAGGGGTTTCAGGGGGGCAGGAATGGCATGGCTTCCTTGGAGAGCCTTGCAGGATCTTACTGAGATTGCTCCCATGAGTTCCACCAGGGTACTGCTAGGTATCTGAGTCTTCTGTCTCTCTACGTCCTCTCCTGAACCGTTTCCACAAGTTGTAACCTGGCATGCCTGTTCTTAGAGCCAGAAATATGACAAATATTCAGATAAGGCAATGGAATTTAAAGCACAGGTCTGTTGCTCCGCTGGCGAAGACTCTGGGGAATGCTTTGTAAATTAGGCGTGCCTCTCTCCAAAGTGCACACAGCTCAAATCCTGCACCTGGCTCTGTACCAAGCATTCAGGAGGTGCTGGATTACCATTTGGGGAATGGATTAATGAATCCTATTTTAATGTACTGTGACATCTTCATTCTTATAGGAATATTATGGCAGGTATGTAACATAAAGGACTTTTTATACCTTTAAAATATATTTTTTAAAGAATTTATTCATTTATTTGAGGGAGAGAGAGACAGAGATAGAGAGAGAGAGCACAAGTGGGGAGGAGAGGGAGAGCAGCCTCCTTGCCAAGCAGGGAGCCTGACGCGGGGCTCAATCCCAGGACCCTGAGATCACAACCCGAGCTGAAGATAGACGCTCAACTGATTGAGCCACCCAGGCACCCCAATTTTTTTGTGTTCATGTGTAAGGAGCCTAAAGTGACATTGACTTTTAATTTCAAGTGCAACCTTTAGTTTTTACGCGGCTTTGTAATGTACTAAAAAGAGCTTGGGGTTTGGAATTAGTTAGGCCCAGTTTTTGAATCCCAGTTCTGGCATATTCTGAAGATAATGATGTATAATTTAAGGAGCTGTAATGATTAAATGAGGGAACTGTGACTTCCTAGCACATGGTGGGGATGGAAGTGGGAGCGAGGGGTGTCCTCCCTACTTGGCCAGACCACTCACCGTCATGCCAAGGTTTGGGGTCTTTATAATTCTCTGGTCTAGAGTGATTCATGGACCACGCATGTCAGAGGCCAGAGAAAGAGAAGGGGCTGCCTTCCTCTGCTCAGCCAGCGTTCTGCCTTATTCACCATGTCCCGACTTCACCTTCTCACGCTTGGATACTTCTTAAAAATGTGCTTTTTCTCCGTTAAATGCTATTTTGGATCTCATACACCAGTGTAATGGATAGACCTCCCTCACAAAGACTCTTAACGGACCTGGTGTTTATCAAATGCTTGGTGCAACAAAAACTCTTAGCAACTCCTGAGAACCTCAGGGCCTCCGAAACTGACTGCCAAGAGTTTCGGGGAAATCACAGGGAAATTTGTTCACCGCATGATTAATCCTGGGTGGACCGGTCCCGGAAAATCACATGCGGGTTTGCAGCAAGCAGCAGCATGCAGAATTTTACAAAACAAACCAACTAACGGAGAGGCCCCGAAGTCCGTGTTTTGGATGGAAGTTCAGAGCGAGGGCGGGGCCTGACAATTGAGGAAAATGCCAGATGTGTGGACAACAGAGCGCCTTTGAATCCACTCAGTGCCAAAGAGACGACACATGGGACCAGATTACAAAACTGAACCAGATTATACATTAGATGAGGGAAAGCCAGTGGGGAGCAGAATCCTGTGAGAAGGATAATAAAATTCATCACCATAATTACCCCCAGCCTCAGAGGCCACAATAGCTCAGCTCAATGAAGTTATTCATCCATATTCCCTGCGCTTCAGTCATTATCCTCAGACAAAACCCTTCCTGGGCCTCAGCTGCTTGCCGGCAGCCCAGCAACTCAGCATCCGCACGCAGCCAGCCCCCCACACAGCCTGGGGAGGTGGAGTGGGGAAGGGGGGCTGGTTCTCTCTTTAGCAGGGCAGTTTCTAGTACCAACTAATGGCTGGTGATTTTTTTTTTTTCAGACCAGATTTATAGATGCTTAAGTCAGTTTCACCCCTCCCGCCAACCACTCGGTTTAGGGTACCTCTGACTTTCAAAAACTTTGGCTTAAAGATAATTACAGCCAACCCTTTCCGAGGAGGAAACAGAGGATGCTGCCCAGCTGCTTCTGCCTTTCCTTAGCTGAACTGGGATGTGGCTCCGTTTGGGGGTCTCCCACACCTTGCCCTGGGCAGCACAGAATGGTGTCATCTGCATGCTGTCTCGCCAAAAGGGAAATGTAAGTGAAGTGCAGAGCTGTGTGGATTCCAGTGGAAAGAGAAGTTCCAAAGATAGGACTGCCACGAATAGCCCATGTCCCCGTAAAGATAGTTGCTCAAGTGCCTCTGAAGCCCACAGCCGGGCAGAGACTCGTACACCCTGTATAATTTCCCCAGGGCTGGATATTATTGTCTGCATGTGGAATTACAGATGCCTGGGTCAGGTCTACCCCTCCCGCAAATCACTCCCTCCAAGGAGGATTTTTCTGGTACTCGACCCACCTCTATCCTCAATTTGGAAAATGCAAGAGTTTCCCTTTCAGCAACCTCCAACTCCAAAGATCACTAGGGGGCTTACAGTTCCTGCGATCCATATTTAGTGAGCAAGTACTATGCGCCGGATTTTTGGGGGGCCCTGGGGATCAAGGCTAAGACAGAGCTCTGTTCTTGGGAGCTTATATTCTATTGGGGAAACAGATAAAAATAAAAGCCCAAGAAAAATCAAATGCTGACAGATGTACGTGGATGCTATCTACATGGCACAGCAGACAGCAGAAGGAAGCAGGATGGGAAAGGGGGGTAGGGGGCAGGAGGGGGAAAGGGGCAGGGAGGCCTCCAGGGAGGATAATGGAGGCCTCTTCCAGACCATCCCATTGATAGGGCCCTGAGGGTGTCGCTGCTGCATAGGGGAGTCCTCCCCACCCCAGCACTGCTGAATGCCCCCCCCCCATATATGGGGCCAACTTCTTCTGAGGCCATCTGCATTCCTCCAATACACAGCCCCATAGGAAAGCCCAGTCCAGCCAGTGGAAGGCTCCTTGCTTCTATCCTTCTACCCTCTCTCTCATGAGCTGAGCAGAGGGTTGCAGGAGGTGGGCTGCCCCGGAGGGAGGCCCCCTCTGCTCCCCACCTTTGCTGCCTGTGGATCCAATGGAGGGGGGGCTCCTCCTCCCACCCTGCTCAGGCATTGCTTTGGGACGCGTCACTAGCTAAGCCACTGTCTCCCCTTCTCCGGGTCCTCCGGACTCGTGGGCTCGCACACACGCCCAGCTCCCCTCGGCTTTCCCGGGCAACTTCAAATACCAGGCCCAGGCATTCCAGCAAGTCTGAGCTCGCTAGTCCCCACCAGCAGTGGTGGCAGGCGGCCATTCTGCTGGATCTTACCTCCTGCCGGGTCCCAGAGCCACGCGCTTCCCAAAACCAAGAGCAGAACTGGCACCTTCCACATCTTCTCGGTTGACTTGTTTTCTTTGGGGCCGAGCAACTGGTTTCTGTGCTGGGGGAAGATGAAAAAGCTCTGCAGCCAGAGGCCCTTGCCCAGTGGAGCCAGAGAACAGGGGCTGGAATTCAGGGAGCAAAAAAGCCCCAGCGTAGGAGAGATCCCCAAGCTTCCTTCTCCCGCGGAGGCTGAGGAGCAAACTTTGCAGTAGGAAACTTTGCGAGGAGTCAGCATTTATCTCTCCCGACGAGGGCGGGGAGCCGCTGGTCCTAAGGTGGTCTCAGTCCGGGGCTCACTAGGACCGCCCTCTGCCTCTGTTTGGCTAGCGCTAAAACGATGACCTCAGGCCAGGTTTAAAGTTACAGGGCCACAGCTGCAGGGCTGCCCCCGGGACGCCTGGAGAGCCCTGAGCCCCAACAGGAGGGGAAGGGGGAGCATGCAGTGAGCAATTTATTATTTTTTAAAGTATTTTACTTTATGATTCTGGGTTTCTTAAAGAGTAAGGCACAAGCCTATTTTATTTTATTTTATTTATTTATTTTTTTGTTAGAAGTAAACTCTTCCTTCTGTAGCCAGTAATTTTAGAACGGAGCCTGGGATTATTCTTGTAAATATTGAATTTGATGTCTTTTTTTAAAAAAAGTGGCCGTCCTCATCTGGGTGGGCCAGGGGCGGATCTGGCTGGTAAATTGTTCCCTTGTCTGGAGGACCCGAGCAGGCAGGCTCTGGAGGGGGTGTTGCCTAGAGAGCTGGGGGGCGGGTAGTCTGGAGGACTCCCTGGTTCTGGCAGTTTTAGAAAAAAAGGCTGTTGGAGATCTGCTTCTCCTCACTTTGGATGCAGCGCTGTAGTGCTGGACGGACGAACAGACGGATGGCCGCGCCCAGTGAGGTGCTGCAGCCCAAGAATGTCCAAGGACACCCCCCCACCACCACCACCGTCACCAAACCTATGCTCACTTCCAGGGGCTCTCATCTCTTTTAATCCTGGAATGTGGTCCCATAATCCCCACTTTACTGGTTTAAGCAATCTTGCCCTGATCTCAGGTACTGGGTGTTAGCAACAGGCAAACTTGCGGGTTTTTTACTTTCCTTCTGAACTGTTGGAATTTTCTTAAAAAGAAACATTTTTTTAAAGATTTTACTTATTTCTTTGACAGAGAACGAGAGCGCACAAGCTGGGGGAGCGGCAGAGGGAGAGGGAGAAGAAGGCTCCCCGCTGAGCAGGGAGCCCGATGGTGGGGTGCTTGATTCCAGGAGCTCCGGATCATAACCTGAACCGAAGGCAGACACTTAACCCAGGGGCCCCAAAGAGAAAATTTTTTAAGAAGAGGAGATGGGGACATGGCCTCTGCCTCTTCCAAGATGCCACAAATTCCATTCAACAGAAAGAAACTGCAGATGCCCCAAAGCTGACTGGCATGAAAACTGGTTATTTTCAGATCCTAATCCCAGACCCTGATTCCGAATCGGTTTTGTCATTAGAATCACAAGGGATTGGTTGCTTTAAAAGCTCAGATTACTGGGCTCCACCCCCAACTCCTTAAATCAGGCCCTGTGGAAATGTACATATTAAGCCACTGTTGCAGGAGAACTTGTCCACAGGAGTATTTAATAAACCACGTCCTCTGGCCTCGCTTCTCAAACAGTGTGTGAAACACTGCAGTGTAGTTAAATGCAGGTGGGCTTCTGTGGGTCTGGGGTGGGGAGATTCCTCATTTCTAAAGAGCTGGACAATGTCTTATCCTGGGGCTACAAGATAGGAGTTGATACCTGACCTAGAGAGAGGAAAGGGACCCTAGGGTCAAAGGGTTGAAAGTGTAAAGATAAGAGAGATAGAGAAGATAATCAGACTGCCTCCCCCATCTTTTAGTAGCTTATTATTACTGCATTATCAGGAATGTTTGTTTATAGACTGAATGATACATGTCATCTGCCCAGCCTGTTAGATGGAGAAAAGATGCAAATCCACTCTAAAGTAAAAAAACAAAACAAAAGATTGAATAAAAGAAAGAAAAAGACCATCTTCATTTGGAAACAGGGATGAAATGAAGCTTGAGTGGGAGAGAACAGGTTAAAATCAGCTAATTTGGAGTGGTGCTTGGGGCTAGGTTGTTACTCAAGGATATGCCCTTCTCCCCATCCCCACAGCCGTGCACCTGCCGAGGGATGAGTCTAGATTCCACAAGGTTGATTACTTGACCTCTCTGGTAGAGGATCGAGGAGGGGGAAGGAATAGGGAGTTGCATCCTGTTGGAGACCATCCTGGGGAAGGGGAGAGCGTCAGGACCAAGGGAATCTATGGGCATGGTCCAGATGCTGTTGGTTCAAGTAATGGGAGAGTGGCTGGGGGAACCCAGTGGAGGGACCTTCCTCAGCAATGCAAACAGCAGAGTAGAGAGAGGTGATGCTGGTCTTGGGCATAGGGGTAGGAGCCGGGGTGCATCTGAGTGACTCAAGGCTAGGCTAAAGACGATTCGGTAAAGCGTAATGGATTTGGAAGCCTGAGACCAGCCTACATGAGGGGAAGAAGGAAACAAGTAGAGTACATGCCAGAAGATTCCTCCATTCTTTGAAATAGTTTGGGCCCCCAAAACAGTGACTGGTAAGGTAATAATGACATCTATCCTGTTCACCGGTAACTCTAGCACTATCTCATTGAAACTTCAAAATAATCCTTGGGGTAAGAACACTGATAAAACCCATTTTGTATATTAAGGAAACAGGTTCCCTAAGTGGTTTCCAAAGCAAGTGTGTACCAAATTTGTGTGGAGGACTGGCTGGTTAGAATTAAGACCCCGGGGGGCTCCTGGCTGGTTCATTCGGTGGAGCATGAGACTCTTGATCTCAGGGTCCTGAGTTCGAGTCCTACAGTGGGCATAGAGCTTCTTAAAAAAAAATTTTTTTTTTTTTTAAATTACGACACTGGGGCGCCTGGCTGGCTCAGTGGCTTGAGCGTCTGCCTTCGGCTCGGGTCATGATCCCGGGTTCTGGGATCCCGCATCTGGCTCTCTGCTCACCAGGGAGCCTGCTTCTCTACCTACTTGTACACTCTCTCTCTCTCTCTGTCAAATAAATAAATAAATTAATTAATTAATTACGACACTGATCTGGGCCCCCCTCTTGAGCTTCTGATTGTAGGTCAAGAGCAGGGCCCGATAATTTGCATTTCTAACAAGTTCCCAGGTGACACGCTGGCCCCGGGGTCCCCCTTGGAGAACCACTGGTTTATAGATAACGCAAATAGTCCAGGGTCTTCTGAAGCAAGTGGCGGGACCACTGTCCCTCTATTGCACAATTGGAGCCTGTTGATAGGGCTGTGTCTTGCTTAAGGATCTAGAGAGAGAGGTCTGTAAGTTGCTTTTGGGGAGCAGGAAGCCCCCTGAGGGTGGTGGACCAGACTGCAGAAGGAGAAGATGCAGAGCCAGAACACCCAACCTGAGACCCTTCATCCTGAGGGATGCTGGAGAGTGGATGTCGGGATCTCTCATCCCCCCTGCCTGCTCTGTGGCTCCTGCACAGTCCGAGAGCTTCCCCACGCTGCCCGGGAAGGCTTCTCAAGTATCTTCTCTTGCTTCTCAACACACACTGCTCCAGAGCTGGGATACCACCTCAGATGGCATCTGATGTCAAAGGTACCTCTGCGACTCAGGAATAAGTCATGCACTTATCTGTACAAGCTGGGTCCAAAATGTATTTAGCAGGAATGAGGGGATGAGGGATGGGGGTGGGGAAGGCAGGTGGGGAGTGGTGTGGGACTGTGAACTCACAGCAGCTTGGTTTGCTGGAAGGAGCTTCAGTGTTTTAGAATCAAAATTCAGCTCCATGGTGGCCTCGGGCAATACAAGTCTCAGTTTCTGCTTCTTTAAAATGGGCATACTACTACTTTGGAGGGCTCTATATAACTGCTATGATTGCTATGATGGTTGTTTCGGCCAGGCCCTGCCTGGTTCTCAGCCTCTTGAATCCCCCAGGGCCCACCTGTGCCCCCCCTGTGCCCACTGGAACACTCAGCCAGCCCCTCCATCTAAGGTTCTTGACATGGGCCCAATGGAACTGGTTCCTTTCTGCCTTAGGACACCCAGCTGGACCGGTATGTGAGGACTTGGCATCAGCTTGTCCTCTGTTAGGTCCAGCCCTCACCTTGGGCCTTATTCTAAGAGCCCTCCAGGATCCCTGTCCAGGGTCCCATGAGGACCCCTCTGGGAAGCCGGGTTATGTCCCAGTTCCATCCGGGAACTAGTGTTCGGCACCAGGACCCTACCTGGAGGCTTGATCCTGTCATTCCTAAAATGATGGGGAGCTGGCTTGGATTTCTATTTGCCAAAGCTCTCCCAGGGGCCTCCCCAATGCTGACTGCCCCTTCCAATGGTCAGAATCAAACCCATGCCCTATTTCAGTGGGGTGCACACAATTTTGCTTGCGGACCCCCAAAGAGAATTTTGAGAAACTAGGTACCAGTCATTTTTAATCACAGAGTTAAATAAGTATATGCTTAGCAGGAGGTAGAACATTAAATACTTTATAAAAAGAAATAAGGTGAAGACTGACTGAAATGGGGAAAAAAACCTCTATAACATTGAATAAGTGCTGACCATGAAAAAATTATATGAAATTTTGTCTATGAATTTTAATCCACACATTTTGACATTTTTTGATAAAAGGTCTGGAAAACTTTCCAGTTACACTTAAAAGAGTCAGCATCACTAACAGATATTCTTTTTTAATTTTTTTATTATTTTTATTTATTTATTAAAATTTTTTTTAATGTGAACTCTACACCCAACATGGGGTTTGAACTTACAACCCCAAGATCAAGAGTCTCATGCTCTATCGACTGAGCCAACCAGGCACCCCCAGATATTCTTTTTTTTTTAAATGGTGTGCATTTATCAATTTTTCATTATAAAAATATATATTCATTAAAAAATGTGGAAACCAGGAAAATAGAGAATTTATTGTATGTCCAGATTTCCTTGTGTGTTTGCAACTTTTTCTTTTGACATAATTTCAAATTTATCTAGATTACCACTTCGTTTCTGTTTTGCCCAATTTGCTTCTTTGTTATCTCTGTATCTAAAACGTTTGCATATTGGTTTTGATCTGAATCACTTGAGAGTAATGGAGATTATGCCCTCTAGCCCTAAACACTTGGGTGTGAATTCCCTAAAGACAAAGACTTTGTCTTTTGTAGCTGCAGTATGATTAGCCAAGGCACACAATTTAATATGAATACAACACGATTATCCAATCCACAGTCCATATTCAAATTTTGACAGCTGCCCCAATTGTATCCTTTACAGACTTTTTTTTCCAGAATCAAAT